GAAACGTCAGCCTTCCTGCTCCTATGATGCTGCTTGGCCTGCTGTGTTCATCCAGCTCTATACCTTGTTATCTCTAGCGACTTAGTATATCAGGTTAGTCAAGGAAATAGAACGTTGAAGTAGCAGAATCATAAAATGTTTAGTAGAATGTTAGGTCACAGAGAGGACAAGTAAGACAAGTGCTCAAAACTGCAAGAGTCAGATATCTGTTAATGGTAGAAGTTAGAAACCAGGCAAGTGGACATATACAGAATATGGAGCAGATAGGATTTTGCAATTATCATCATGCCATCTAGATTTAACGTGGATATAAACAGCCTGGTACAACAAGAGAGAGAGAGAGACAGAGACAGAGAGGAACAATAACTTGGCAGCAACTCTGCAGCAGAATAGCTGTGCTAAGCTCAATTCAGCTCAAACTTAACCTTGAAAATGTATTAGAAGACATCCAAATAAAGAGAACTTTAAGCCTCCCTCGGTGTCTTTTCTCGATCTCATTCACCTGTCTTAATAGAACCCAACAATTTGGCGCTGCAAGCGGGGTCACAACAAGACATTCAACAACCAATGAGACTCTGATCACGACTAACTGCCACCCCTGAGGTAAGGGCACATTTATTTAAATTCTCAAGCGAAAGCGATACTTATTGTTCTTGGTGGCAAGTCCTAGCTGACGTGATCAAAAAAAAGAACTTAATCGGTCTAAAGCCAACAGAAAAGAGACCACCCTCGGCTCGAAAAGACACACCCCCCCCCACCCCGGTTTAGACCCCAAGAGACCTAATTGACAATGACTAAAACATGAACAAAGATTCGACTTACCTACCACCTTGATGGAAATTTGCAAACAAAATATGGAACCTCCATGGGATGATCGTCCCTGGATGACATTAAGAGAGTTTTGGAAAGAATACTAGGCTCACAGATAAATAACGGACACCTTGGTCCCTCTGTATAATGCAACAACTGCGGCAGAGACAAGAAATCATTGACAAATCTAACCATAATCGAGATGTTAACAATTTGATAGATCAACTAAGAGCCGTATGTAATGAAGTGAAAGCAACGAGAAATGAATTGATGGCTGCTTAAAAAAAAGAGACTAAACACTTAAAAACTCTGTCGCTTACTCCACCACCTTATCTAACGACACCCTTATATCCTGTTATCACGTCAAGTGCACCCCCTCCAAAGGTCAATTTGGAGTCATCCTCAAAGTGACGAGGACTCCAAAATGGATACATATCCCCCAGCGCCCCTAAATCCGGTTGAGTTGAAAAGACGCAAGAATAAAAAAGTTATTGTGAGAGATGAACATGGACAATGAGGAGGGCCCCAACATGAATATACTCAATGGGCAGTCCACAAACCACCTGATCTGAAATTAGTTGACTTGGTCTAAAGAATTACCGAATCCCCGAAAGGGGGCGGTGGTGGGGGGTTCTGAAAACCTGGATGGAATTAGAACGATTGAAAAACATCTATTCGTTGCATCCTCTGGACGGGGCTCAAATCCTATCTGCCATGCTAGGCTCTAATACTGGCAACAAATTCCTCGCCCAGGTGAGGGAGCACCTAGGGAGAATGGACAGAGACTAGAGGATGGATGGTGCTCAATTCAGACCTGGCTCCAAGATTATGGTCCTTCTAAGATAGATTGGAATAAAATTAGTGCCTGTCAACAGAAAGGTATTGAGGACGTTCGAGACTTTACTGAACAAAGGGACTTTCCCAGGATAAAGGGACATAAGTATAGAATAACAGACCCTTGCCTCACTAAAAGCCACACTTGTGACAGGTCTTAAACCTGAACTTACATAACTTTAATTGGGAACAGAATAGTGTTTCCCTCTGAGACCCGATTGAACAGAGAGGTCAGTTAGGACAATACATGGAATCAAAGCTCAGAGTAGTGCAGACTTCCAGCTCCAATAAGACTGACAGATGCCCCAGCAAGTGTTACTATTGCGGGAAGGAGGGGCATTGGAGTAACAAATGTAGACAGGAGAAAAAAAAACTCAGGCGATAATCTTAACTCTGGACCACCTAGAGGTCTTTGGGATGGGACATATTCGACTTGACCGAACGTTTTACCTTACTGGAACAACTCAACTTAAACAGCTCCTTGGTCTCATAGAAAACTGACTCAGCCCACCCCGTCATCATTTAGCCCTCTTTACTGCAGCTTTGGAGAATCAATCGCATGGCTGTTATGTTTTATTGGGGATGGACGATAGAGAAATTGACTGTCTTTTAGACACCGGTGCCGAATCAGCTTGTCTCCCTCCGTCTGTTGATCATGGGTATACCGCGTGAGGGTGAAAGACGGACTGCTGTAGGGGCTGGAGGGAAAGAACTTAAAGTGGAAAAAGCAGAGTCCCTTCTGATACGGTTGGGCCCCTATGTGATAAATCGCCTCTGTATGGGTGGATCCTGTGAGAGAAGCTGTACTGGGCTTGGAAGCCTTAACTCAGATAGACTCATCGATACATTTCGACAATGGTCGGGTCACCTGGTCTATACGGCACTTTGCCCAAGAAGGGTGGCAGGACCTTCCCATACAGGCAAAAGACAAGACTGACTGTGGCCTCTTAAAAATGACACCAGTAACATTTACAGGTGTTGCCCCGCCATGTACCAAACAGTAGCCCATCAGTTTAGCCCCCATAGCTGGCATTTTACCCGTCATTGCCAAATTGGAACAGCAGGGAGTCCTAAATAAAACCAACAGTTCATCCAACAGTCTGGTATGGCTGGTTAAGAAGCCCGATGGTAAGTGGTGCCTGATTACCGGAAAGCTAACCAGTGCATCGAACAGAAGGCACCCTTGGTTGCAGACCTCTCCACCAGCTTTAATGACCTCTTTTCAGATCATAAATTTTTCTCTGTAATTGATATGGCCGACGGATTCTGATCGGTTCCATTAGCCCCCAGAGTACAGCCATGGTTTGCTTTTACTATTCAACAACAACGATATACATGGACACACTTACCACAGTGATTTCACAGGAGCCCCACGGTGTTCCGTATGGCTTTGCCAAACCATCTATGTGAATTGTCCCCTACGGTTATACAATACGGTTGCCTCCCTGACTGCGGAACAGCATAAGGAGGACCTTCGTACCCTTCTTGATCACTTACACTCTCAGGGCCATAAGGCTAACCTTAAAAAGGCCCAGATCGCTCAGGAAGAAGTCACATACCAGGGACAGAAGACTTCAGTGGAGAAATGAGAGGTCACCCAGGATAGGACAGCTGCTATTCTGACAGCAAAGGAACCCACCACTATCCAGGAACTGAGATCTTTTCTCGGTCTTTGCGGTTTCAACAGAAATTGGATTGACAGTTACTCCCAGATACCCCAGTCCCTGGCCAATCTTCTAAAGGGTGGAAGAGATTCCAAGAACACTGTCCCATTTTCCCATGAGCCGCGTGCTGCCTTCCAGAAACTCAAAAATGCCCTGTGTTCTGCCCCAGCCTAAGCATTTCTGATAACGGTAGACCTTTCACCCTTCCACGTGCATGAACAAAGCGGCTACATGAAAGCTGTTTTGAATCAACAGCATGGGGATAGACAACGACCTATTGGTTACTACACAACCCAATTCGATCCTGTGGCATTGGGATGGGGGAGGTGTTTATGGGTGGTGGAAGCCGTTTGTCTTGCGGTTATAGGAACTGCACCTATTGTCCTTATCAGAAGTTAACTGTTAAATGTTCCCATACTGTTCACGCTATAATCTCTATGAACTGTGTCTCCCAAGTCACAGCCGCCCAAAGGACTCGGTGGACCACACTTTTAGAAGCTCTCAACCTCCACCTTGTACGTGCTAGTCCAGTTAATCCGGCCACATTACTACCCATTCCACAAATGGGGTGGGGGAACTGAACAGGAACACGACCAGGTAGAGATATTACAGCAATTGAATTAAGTAGCTCCTGCTTCTGATGAACCTCTACAAAACCCAGATTGGCTTCTCTTCACAGACGGGTCCTCTCTTGTGGAAAATGGCATCCATAAGGCTGGGTGGGCAGTCATAACTCTGCATGAAGTCTTAGCCCAGAGCAGTCTACCACCGGGTACCTCCGCCCAGCAGGCTGAATTAGAAGCATTAACAGAAGCATGTAAAATAGCCAAAAGGAAAATGGCCAATGTTAACACGGACTCTAGATATGCTTTTGGCATGGCCCACGATTTTCGCACTTTGTGGCAAAGACGAGATTTCCTCACAGCAGCAGGTACTCGCGTTAAAATTGGAACTGAGATCCATAGCCTCCTTAATGCCATCCAGTTACCACAAGAACTGTCAAACCTTAAATGTAAGGCATACACCGAAGAGAACTCTATTGAGACCCAAGGAAATGCCTTGGTAGACCAGGCAGCCAAAAATACAGCAGCCAGTTTCCCTCATGAACCCCTCCTATGTATTGTGCAGACCACAACAAACAAACTACAGGACATAAAAACTATGCAACAGCAATGCTCTCGAGAAGAGAAGTGGACACAGATTGAGTCAGGATTGAAGTTGTGCGAGGATGGTCTCTGGAGACAGAAGGGGACCAATAAACCAGTGGCACCATAAGCGCAATTGCCTTTCTTGGCTCAACAGATCCACTCCTGGGGACATCTAGGTCCCCCACAGATGACAAGCTAGGCTTCAAAGAAGTTGGTGGGGAAGGGGATTTAAAACTCATGCCCAGTCAGTAGTAGATAGGTGCATGACATGTCAAAAGAACAACCCCACACCCACTGCAGGGATGCTTCAACTGAGACACACCATCCACTTCCAACACCTGCAGGCTGACTATTTTTCCTTACCAAAATGTCAGGGGTATTCAGAGGTCTTGGTTATTGTGGATAGATTCTCAAGGTGGGTAGTAGCCTCTCCCACTGGGAGGGCCACTGCTAGCCATGCAGCCAAAGTCCTCTGTAAAGACCATATCCCTCGATGGGGTCTCCCGAGCTGCAATGACTCAGATCAAGGCACCCACTTCACTGGCACAGTATATGAAGAGGTCTGCAGGCTACTCAGGATTAAATGGGATCTACACTGTCCAAATCACCCCCAGACCTCAGGGCAGGTAGAGCGCACCAATAGAACCCTTAAACAGAGGCTTGCAAAGTATCATCAAGAACAGAGACCTTGGCCCCAAGCATTACCCATCGTCCTGTGCAATACACGAGTGACCCCAAACAGAACTACCGGCCTTAGTCCCTTCGAAGTAATAATAGGGAGGCCTATGTCTTTACCAGGTACCATAGATTTGCTCACAGCTGATTGCCACCTGTTAAGTGTTATGTTTTATTGGGGGCAGAGATAGGGAAATTGATACAGAAATTGACTGTCTAGACTGCGGTGCCGAATCAGTTTGTCTCCCTCTGTCTGTTGGTCCTGGTATACCTCCTGAAGGTGAAAGACGGACTGCTGTAGGGAATGGAGGGAAAGAGCTTAAAATGGAAAAAGCAGAACCCCTTCTGATACAGTTGGGCCCCTATGAGATAATCGCCTTTGCTCCAATATTGTCAGGATCTAACCGCAGCTGTGAGCTCTGCTTTTCAACGGGTGTCAGCTGCCTGGGGGAATTCCCCGAATGGAGGATACAACCTAGGTCCCCATACCCAGGTCTACATCAAGAAAATACATAAAGAACCTTTGGGCGCCAAGTGGGAAGGTCCATACCAAGTTCTGCTGACAACACAATCCGCAGTTAAGGTCAAAAGCAACAAAGCTTGGATCCATGCATCCCACGTACAAAGCGCTACTCACAACATTGAAGCATGAAAGTGTCCGTAATAAGTCCATTAGTCACGTCTTTTTGTATTGCTTGTATGTGGTTCTGGTTTAGATACCGTGCTAGTAAAAGCAATCTTGGTGGTGTGTCTAGACGAGAACTAAATATCTGCTTGTATTAAGAGTTCGATGCCTACTAAAATTCATTCTGTTCACTCCGGTTCCCCCAGCGCAAAAAAAAAAATTGCTTGGTTCCTACGTCTAAAAATTGTGATTCTGCTGTATACTTGGACAGAATCAAAGTGGGGAGTTGTGGGGCTTAAGAATTCTGCATAGATTAGTGTAGCCTGGCTTAATACAAAATGGCGACTTAGCATATCAGGTTAGTCAAGGAAATAGAACGGTGAAGTAGCAGAATCATAGAATGTTTAGTAGAATGCTAGATCACAGAGAGGACAAGCAAGGCAAGTGCTCAAAAGCATAACAGCGTACATTTGTTAACGGTAGAAGTTAGAAACCAGACAAGGGACCATATACAGAATATGGAGAAGACAGGATTTTGCAATAATCATCACGATATCTTCATGTAATGCGGATATAAATGGCCTGGTACAGCGAGAGAGAGAGAGAGAGAAAAAAAAAACGTAACTTGGCAGCAGCTCTGCAGCAGAATAGCTGTGCTATGCTCAACTTAGCTCAAACTTAAACTCGAATATGTGCCAAGACGACCCCCCAATAAAGAGAACTTTAAGACTTCCTCAGTCTCTTTTCTCGATCTCATTTCCCTGTCTTAAAAGAACCCAACAATGGTGCACCGAGGTATGGCAACTGACAATTAACTGCCAGTTTTTTGTTTGGGAGGTTAAAGCAGTGAACGAGGACGTGGCTGGCTACGATAGTCGTGGAAGCGGACATGACCAATAACTTTACCAGGAAATCGAACTGACCCCTTCGAGAGAAATTATCCTGCAAAGCTGCAGAGTTACAATGAGGAAATGGGTCTGATGGATTGCTCAACAGAGAGCCAGCACTGGACTAGATGAGCTGAGGTACCTGAAACCCTCCTGTTTACTTTCTGCATCCCTGTCTCTCCCTAAGTATTGCTGATCAAGGAAAGCATGGTGTCTGGATGCACAGCCAATGGTGCTGGTGGTTGACTGTAAATTCCACTCCCCAAAAGCATTTGTAGCACATCCATTGCCAGCTTCAGAGCCCCTTCGTACTCAGGATACACTATCTCTCGTCTCCAGCCCCTCTTACAATGTTGCCGTGGCCAATTGCCCCCACTGGCCTTGACTCTGCTCCCTCTCCAACCCGCGAAGAACCAGAATAGACTGGAAGAGGTCAGGGACTCACATGCCAAGGAAGCGGGTTGCCATGGTACCGAAGTGGTCGAACAAGAAGCCACATGGCAGCGTCACAAAATTGTTCATGAAGGATCCCAGAGTGAAGATGAGGGTGAAGCGTTCATCCTGGGGATCACAGTGCACTGAGATAGAGAGAGATAAACACGGGGTGAGTGAGAGTGAGTGAGAGAGAAAATGGGACCTGTAGGGCAGTGCGGCACTCCCACAGTGCTGACCCTCCCACAGTGCTGACCCTCCCACAGTGCTGACCCTCCCACAGTCCAGCACTCTTTCAGTGCTGACCCTCTGAAAATGCAGAGCTCCTTCTTCACTCTATCACTGTGCATCCCATCCCCTTCCACACACCCTCATCCTAATCTCTGCTCCACGTCACTATTCTCTCTTCCTCTCATCCCTTCCCTGCACCCTTGTGCCATTCTTCTCTCTCTCTCTCTCTCTTTCCTGCAGCACACTTACTGGTGCCATTTTCAGCTCCATGGTAGCTGGCATTGTGCGGAGGGTAGCAGAGGTTGGCGAAATATTTCTCCTTCTTCAGCACAAAAACGAGTGATGCCCAGCCAAAGATCACGCCTGCGAAGCCAATGCACTCAAATAGTCCCGTGGCAAACGTTAAGAGCCGTTTGATCCTCTCCCTCAGGGGTTCCATTGTCCTGACTATCAAAAATTCCCTTTTGATATCCTGGTTGCTTCAAGTTCCCCGGTCTGGGAAGATAAAAAGAAAACAGCGAGTCTCACTGGAAATATACGCTGGGGATCAGTTAAGGCCCAAGCTCCACACATTTGTGCTTTTGCTCATATGTATGAGGGACCGTGCAATACATGGATCCTCATGGGCAAGTGTATGGTTACATGGAGGTGTACACAAGGCTGTGTTTATGCGGGGAACTGTGAGAACCTGCATATCCATGACTGTGTGCGCACTGGATCGGGTAATTGCGAGAGCGTGACTGTTTTTGAGAGTGGGTTTTCAAAACTAGCTGGTTTTGTGGCTGAGAACGTGAGATTGCGTTTCCAGAATTAAAGAGTGTGTCAGTTTCTATGGGCAAACGTGTGCACGCACATGTTAAGGCGAGCCGATGGGACTGTGTACATACGTGGTTAAGTTGTCAGCTTGGTTTTATTCGGGCGAGCGAATGAGCGTACACTTACGCGAGAAGGTGCACAAGCCTGTGTCTACGTGTGAGAGCGTAAGAGCCCGTATCACAGGGGTCGGTTTGCTCACTTGGCTGGAGTGCAATGCTGAGCAATACCGACGCCATCGTGTTAATTTCCACCCGGCTCAACCATGAAGGTTTTACTTTCTCGATTTTGGCCCTCGTGGGAGCCCTTAGGTTAAATCACGACCAGTCATCTCTCACGTTGGGCGGGTGGGGAGGCTGGGGCGAGATGGAATGGGCAGATAAGGTAAAAGAGATTCTAAAAGTACATGAAAGTCAAAAGAGTAACTAGGCACAGAATAGGGCCGCTTAAAGATCAATAAGGTCATCAACGTGTGGAGCCACAAGAAATGGTGCAGATCCTAAATGCATATTTCTTATCTGTATTTACCATTCAGAAAGGTATGGATGCTAGGGAACTTGGAGAAATCAATAATAATGTCTTAAAAAGTGTCCACATTACAGAAGAGGTGGTGCTTGAAGTCTTAAAGCCCTAAGGTAGATAAATCCCTGAGACCTGATGAAATGTATTCCAGGAGTTTGTGGGAAGCTACGGAGGATACTGCAGGGCCCCTCATGGAGATATTTGTATCAGTGACAGTCATGGTAGAAGTGCCTGAAGACTGGAGGGTGCCTAATGTTGTGCCAGAGGTAGTGGTGGAAGCGACTACAATTTCATCATTTAAGAAACATTTAGGCAGGTACATGAATGGGATAGGTATGGAGGGATATGAACCAAACACAGGCAAACAGGGCTAGATTAAATTGTGAAAAATGGGTGGCATGGGCAAGTTGGGCGGAAGGGCCTGTGTTCATGTTGCAGACCTCTATGACTCTTTGATAGGAGAGCAGCCCTATGGCCCTTTAGTAACTTTGCTTCTGTGGATAGGTTTGCAAGCTTGGGTTTATGTATTTAAGTACAAGAGCCTGTGTTTTTTGTCAGACAATGTGCAAGTGTGCATTCAAATGAGTAAACTTGACAGTGTTTCTTTTATTACTGTAGTCTTCGACAGCTTCTGAAATAAATCATTGAAGTGCAATGATAATTAGGACCCTGTTTACTGAACACCTTATCTTTTGCAATAAACCATGTAAACTGAGGATAAGCATTAACATGGAAGCAATGATACGTGAAACGTTTTGGACAATTGCCAGGGCAATAACATCAAGACTATAAACAAAGAGTGTGGGAAGGGAGGTGGGGAATAATGACAGGGACAGCAAGGGACAGAACATATGTTTTGTTCCTGAGTGGCACTGCGTTCCAGATAGGGCAGTCCCATACAACAGTGCGTGTATGACAGTCCGTTCCTATGCAATAGCATGCAAATACAGAATGTATTCCAAGAACAAAAACAAAGTTGCTGGAATAGCTCAGCAGGTCTGGCAGCATCTGTGAGGGAGAAAACAGAGTTAACATTTCCGGTCCGGTGACCCTTCCACAGAACTCAGAACTTGGATAGTCCAACTAGAGGAGCGGCCATACTGGACCTTGTATTGGCTAATGAACCTGGTCAAGTGACTGACCTTGCAGTAGGACAGCATTTCGGAAACAGTGATCACAACTGCTTAAGTTTTAAGACAGCTATGAATAAGGATAAGTCAGGATCTTGTGGGAAGATACTAAACTGGGGAAGGGCAAATTACATCAGTATTAGGCAGGAGCTGGGGAGTGTTAATTGGGAGCAGCTGTTAGTTGGCAAGTCGACATTTGACATGTCGGAGTCGTTTAAAGATCTACGGATTACAGTTCAGGACCAGCATGTTCTAGTAAGGAGGAAGGACAAGGATGGAAAGGTAAGGGAACCTTGGATAATGAGGGAGGTTGTGAAGTTAGTCAAAAGGAGAAAAGAAGCATGTCTGAGGTTTAAGAAGCGAAAATTGGACAACAGTCTGTGAGGAATATAAAGAAAGGAGGAAAGAACTCAAGCAGGGAATTAGGAGAGCAAGAAGAGACCATGAAATGACCTTGGCAAGTAGGGTTAAAGAGAATCCCAAAGCCTTCTATACATATATTAAAAACAAGAGGACAACTAGGGAGAAGGTAGGACCACTCAAGGGTAAAGGAGGGAACTTGTTCTTGGAGGCAGAAGATGTGGACAAGATCCTAAGTGAGTACTTTGTGTCGGTATGTATCCAGAAGGATACGGAGGATAGTGAGATTTGTGTGGAGCATGCTAATATGCTAGGGCATTTTGAAATCAATGAAGAAGTGGTACTGGGTCTCATGAGGAGCATTAAGGTTGGTAAGACCCCAGTGCCCGATGGTATCTACCCCAGATTA